GTATACAGGGTCTCCTAATACAAAAGTTACCTTGAACCCGGACGCAAAAGTGTCGGAACGGAAAGATCGTTATATCCATCGAAGCCCTCCAAACGGTCAGCTTGCATCAATTTTCAAAACCAGATTATTATTTAACCGCGTCACCTTATAACGCATTTAAAAACTTTAAAACCGCTACTTCCGGCCATTTTATTTGGGGGCTATGAGGAAAATTATTGTTGCAAACCTCGAAAAACCGCAGAATCTTATGTTCTGCACAAGATAGGCTTGGTCTCGAATTCTCGGGAATTTCCATCCTGACCCAAAACCCTTTACCCAAAACCCCTTAATAGTCGTTGTTTGGCAGAACCATTTAGATTTTGAAAATAATTCAATCACGCGGATGAAAGCGGGAAGCTCCATCGATCGGACGACATTTTTTCTAACAACTTCCTCTCACTGTTTCTTGCCCATTTACTCACATTTAGGAGCACAAAGTGCGCGATCGGGATGGTTGTCTGTGCGGGCCAGCGAGCGTGTGGCGGTAGAGGAAGTGTTTGCACAGTTCTGTATGTCCTCCTTCTCGTCGAAAAGCACCCCACAGCCCTCCACCCAGTATTCCATCCCGTCCAAACCGTCCGCATCCATCCACCAACCATATTTATCGGCCCGTCAGTCGATATTTCAATTCTGAAAAATTACGTCAACTCAGCCTGGCAGAATACAGAATATGCCGTTGGGTAGGTCAAAGGCCAATTTAAAGGGAGTGTGACAGCAGGCCAAAATCGGGACATATTTGGCTAACAAGGAGATGTTTTGAGTATCCAGTCTCGATGGTAACAAAAGCCTATCTGGTGCAGATTTTTTTGCTAATCAAAACGCATCTCGCAAGAATCTGCAAACGACCATGTTTGAAAGTGCAAAGTGCGACCAATTCCCAATGGCCCACCTTGACCTTTTTTCATGTTTAAAACCGCACAAGTTGCTTATTCTAATCGTTTAGCAAATTCTGAAAACACGAGTTTAATCAGCAACAAAATCGGCACAAATAAAACTGATTACATTTTGAAATTACTTGAACTCTTAAAACGCCTCCGTGTAAGTCATAGCTCGAGCGTCATCCGCTTTTATCATTCAGGTATTTCCCAGGTCAAATTGTAAGCCCTAAGCCTAAGCCTAGGCCTAAGCCTAAGGCCAAGCCTAAGCCTCAGCCCTGAGTCTAAGCCTCGACGCAGCCTCTGCCTAAGCATCCGCTGATGTCTAAACCTGAGCCGAGCCCAAGAAGTAATATCTAGTTCCTTTAATTTTCCGACCCATTCATGGCGTGTTTTGGAAGCATCGCATAGCTGCCAACATCCAGCAAACAAAACCCTCGAATTTAGCCGCTCTCTAGACCCTTTAAAGCTATTTAAACATTTATTGGGTTTCTAAAAGCCATTTATTGCATATTTTATCCTTAAAATTATATCTTCACTTATTACCCTTTCAACAAGATGTTCGCCAGCCAATTTCCCCCCAAGCTTACAAGTCTCAAAATTCATGGCACTGGCTGGGCACACGCTCCTTGTAGTAACCAAAACCAGCTTTCAGAAGTACCGTTTTTCGGCTGCTCTCCGTCGGTCTTCTCGGTTTCGCCATTCAAGATCCTCGTCAAAAAGATACGGATATTCGTATACCAATCTCCGGGACGAATAGTTTGAGATATTCTATTAGCCACGAGCTAACAGTCGTTTTTTTATCTATTTTGCCTCAGCGCCATTGAGTTTTTACCGACGATTACATCCACGATGCAAATTTATTAAAGCTGTAAGTCTTTTATAGCCATGGCTTTTAAAGTCTATGAACGTTTCTTTAAGTTAAAATATACATTTTTTTAGCACATGATGATCGTATGCGTGCTATCCCGGTGTTTTGCATATCCAGCCTGGGACTTGGTTATGTAATGCAAAACGAGATATAAGAGTATTGTCTGTCTAACGTATCTCTTTTGGATACTCTCTGGCTACATGAAAACCTGGGCCAACTCGAGCCTGCAAAGCGAGTACGGCCACCCGGATAACAAGCAAGCGACCGAAACTTGGGATTCGATGCAAAGACAAGTAAATAACGTTAATGCTACAAATACTATGTAATACAGCAAGATATGATTTTGCATCTGTCTATTATTCTTGTATAAGCTTTAACATACACCAATTCGGCCACCTTTAACTTAGACGCAAGACAAGATAAAGTGGGTATTTTGACCATAGAGCTAGCTTGTTCTTAACGCTGTGGCTCCGGATTATTCTAGATTTAATGGAAGCTGGACTTTCTGATTCGTAGTGCCGACTTAGACCGTAGGTCATCCAGCGGAAGTAGTAAGTAGAGAGTAGGAAGAAGTAGTAGTAATTAGGGAAGCGGCTGGTGACAATCATGCTATTTTCCAAGTTGACTTGCTGCGGTATGTCAGAACAAAAGGGCCAAAGGACTATCGAACATCCCGCCTGGCTACTCTCTCAAATCGAATACCCTCCAAGATTAGTACCAGAGAGTTGCTGTCCGACACCACAATTGAACAATTCATGAAAAGTAAGTCGAAGTAGAGTGGAAGTCACTGTCCCGCTCAAAAACCTAAAATCTAAAGCTTTCTGCGTGATAAAAATCAGCGGTTTAGGTTCTGCTACCAGTTTCATAACTCGACAAAGTCTCAGTCAAAAATGCTACTCTGCTTACGAAAGTCTGCATTTTAGGTATCCCATTTTACGCAGTATTTTCCTACCGGAGACGTTTTTTAGCTGCTCAAAATGTGACCGGTCCTCAGGGCTATTTCGAGGATCCGGAAGTGTGCACCGAGCGAAGAAGCGCAGCCCGGCATGGTTCCGGCCGACGCCTACCGCCATCAACAGGTACCAGCGCTCGACTTCTTTCCGATTTTTTACACAATTAATTTCCCCAATTTTAGGGCTGCTACGAACAATTCGAACACGATCTCCTCGCCCACGCTCAGCGTTTATCGATTTTTGCCACCATTTCTACCATTATCCTTATCATCAATTTTACTCTGACTTTCCGGTTATACCGTAAAATGACTGTATCCCCTTACGTTTCGATATATAGGCCTCGATAAGGTTCATTTTTCTGGTATCGTTTATTCGTCGCTTATTCTGGTCACCCTACTTGTCTTTTCTCACCTTGCTCAGATAAGATTCGGGTCTGTACAAATGCATATTTTAATAAATTATTTATCCTTTAATCATCGATTTCTTGAGATTCCAAATGCTATAAAATACACGTAATATGGATTTTATTCACCAAATTATTTCAATTTTTTCGATTCGCCCGCCATTGTTCTGGAATCGCTCGAGGGGCTGGATTTTGATGGAATGGATTTTGAGGGGGTGTGAACGATTTGTTGAGCATTCTCCGGAAATACTCGAGCTGATTAGCAAGTTCTCGAGTTGATCCTTTTCCATCAAAGGATAAAACAATTTACGTTAAAACCCACCATCTCGCAAAGGCATACGGTACGTAGGCGCGAAAAATACCGCCAAAAATCGAATCCCAACATCCATCCTTGGCTAGTCGGATAAGCAGATGAAACCGGCTGGCGATTTCAAGGAGTTTCCCTGTTGTTGCAGGCGATGAATTCGATCCAGTGGTACCTTAAAAATAGCACAATTTTTTCTGACCTATGTAAAATTTGGTGCCCGTAAAAATCGATGCTCACCTCTTCAAACGGAGTATTTTTCCTTGCCTTGAACTCCTTCGTTGCCCACTTTGCCTTGTTTTTGAGCTGAAAAATCGAAATTATTCTCCTGCTAGTTTAAACTTTTAACATCAATTTTCGGGTTTTTCATCAACAAATCGTTGCTCCCACCCCGGTTTTAAAAAGACAAAAAAGCCGGTGGGTGCCACCTGCGGCTCTACCGCACACGCGAAATAGCGATTCGAGTGCCGCTCTGCGTCCCGCGGTAATGTTGCGTTGCGTATCGCCGCAGGCCTAGAGGGTTGGTACAGCGCTTTGCCTATAGCTTTTACTTGCGTTGCGTGTCAGCGCTGCGTTTCGCGTTACATGCCGCGTAACGTGTCGCGTGCGGCAAAATCGGAACAGAAAAATGACCAAGGATTACACACTCTTTAAAATGCTATATTACCTTGGGCGAAAATCAAGCGCATTCTTGATGGCTGCATAGAGTGTGCTTTCTGTCGCGTCCTGCTTTTCAACGACGACGCCCAAGCCCTGAAACGCCTTATTTTCAGTTTTTAGCAATCCCTTCGCTATTGCGCAACTTTTCTCATATTATGCCTATTCTGGCCGTAGAGCGGGATGCCGACCATCAGGACACCGTGGGCCCACCGCTTCCATGACTGATAGCATACCGCAGATGGTGAATTAAAGGAGTTTAGGAGTTGTGCGCTCCAAAGAGTTAATATAAAAATGTATTTTGGCTGTCTCCCTCTCTCTCTCTCTCTCTCTCTCTCTCTCTCTCTCTCTCTCATCTCTCCACCCTCTCCCATTCCTTCCTTACCCAGCAAATCATTCTGCGGAATGTAAGCCGTAAAAGTTGATGTGGCTGGGCGGCTTCTCGACATCGACACCGGCCAATTTGATGGATTGGCTTACTCTATAGTATATACGGTATTTCTTGAGCTTTTGACAGAGCACCGAGAGGGCTTTTCGCCACAGAAATTTTCCGATGATATTGAGGGGTCAATACGATGAACTACCAGATATTCTGGCATATGCGCCGAATTGGCCTGCGTTCCCCATCGAAACGATGATCATACCGGATTCTGCGGATTCGATCGAGTGTTCCAGGGCTGAAAATATAAATTTTAACACGTGTTTGTGTTGCCAAGAAGTTGATGGAGGCTTTTTTAAGCGTGCTTTTTGGCTGCGGGGACTTCGACCGATTACGATAGTTTTTTAGACCCACAAATCCAGCGATAAAATTCTGGTAGACTCAGTTAAGGCTGTAAATTTCGAAAGACCACAGATCAATGATATTTTTATAAAATAATCTGGATTACCCAGGGCATCAAACGGGGCTTACCGCAAACAACGGCTTCGGATGGTCGATATGCATTCCACCGACTGAAATTACATGGGGTGGAAGTGGTCGCTCGTACTCCAATAATCGATCGGTGTTGGCAAAGAATAGAGATGATTTGCCCTTTAATTCATTGACATCCGGGAATGGCTTGAACCTCAAAAACCATCGTAATGATGATAACTCAAAAGCCAACACTGTGAGTATACCTAGGTAAAGTATACCTAGCATACCTATAAGGTATTAGGTAAAGAATACCTCTTCTTGATCTCATAATCATCAGCAAACATCTTCGTGATCTCATGGTCAAGGTGCTTATATCTAAACAGTATTACTTAGAAATCACAGGTATCCATTTCTTACCTCCTTGAGACAATCGACGCCAAAAACGGGATCCGCGACTGGGCCAGGTACTCTTTCAGGATACAGATACCATTGAAGATCCGGTTTACGGCGAGGAAAGGTGTCTAAATAGCGGATTATGCCATGAAAAACGTTAAACTATAAAACGTAATATAACTTATTATCGTAAAAACGTCCTACCGGTCTAAACGAGCAGTGCGAAGATGGGTAGTCCAGACTTGGCGAGGCCCCGGCAGCAACAAGCGTTTCATCGGTGAGTCCTGAAGTTTCAGTTTTAAAAGGACTTGAGCGGGACGACTTTACACCAGAGTTTGATTGACTCTATAGATTACGCCATCAAAAATGATTAAATAAGCCTCACCTTCCTGATCAAAATAAATCACTGGCTTGCCCAGAACGTGAGCCAAAGCCAGTTGACACGGGTTTCCAGCGTAGGCGATCACGACATCGAGCTCGTCTTTCTTGAGTTGGTCCATAAGGTTCGAATTTAGCATCTGGAAATTTATATTCAGATGGCTGAAGCAAAAGGTTAAGGTATCATTTTCATTTCTACACTGCTTACCTTTACACAAGAAGCATTATGCGCAACCCAATAGGGCTCCTCCATCCTTTCGAGCTCATAGTTTTGGCTCCACGGGACGGTGTCACCAATTTTTTCAAGAGGTTCGTAGAGTTTCCTAAGATTTGAAGATACTAACTAAGCCATTGCACTAAAAAAAATATAGATTTTTATGGCGCTAAAAATTTACTTGGTCAACAAGTTCTTCATCGTCTTCTCCCGCACCAAATGAAGCTTCGGCTTCACCAATCGTGGCTCTTCGGGGATTAATATCGGCTTGACGGTAATTACCTAGAGTTTTGTTGTATTTTTGGGCGGGGAAATGCCTTACATTATGGTGTCTCAAGGCCAATTGTTGGGCCAAATATTCGAAGGTTCCGCGCTCAAACTGGTTCGTCCCGATGAGGAATAAAAGTAGATTTAGTGAAGAGACGGTGCCGAGTAATAGCAGAAAGGAGAAGATCGAAAGTAACCGCATTCCTAAAAAAATGGCTTGAAAATGAAATGTTGTATTTAGAGAAATACTCTTGAAAGCAAAATTGTTTTGACTTGCACGATTGGTAAGAAGAAAATTCATGAAATATGGAGGCTTCCACGCAGTAATTTTAAATCTGCTTTATTTAAATTGAATTTAATCTTTGATTTCATTTAGTTGTACGCGTCATTTTGGGTTACAACGATCTTTCCGGGATAGGTAAGGCCGAGATGTGGCTTTTGGTAGCTATGGATTCTTTATCGGGTTTTTTTTCGCGCCCGCGATACGCGACGCGCACCTCTGGAATTTGATTGCGTAAATGGCCAAGGCCTTTGCGCGGCACCAGGTGGTGTATACGTCGTCGGTCGCGTGTCGCGTTGTGTGTCGCTTTGCGGGCCGCGTTGTGGATCGCGCTGAGTGTCGGGTCGATTGTCAAACGCATTCGCGTTGCGCAATGTAATACGTTTTGAGATCCATGAACAAAAGTAGGACTTTCTATCCACGCTCCTTTAAAGTACTCCACTTGTAAATGGGGCTGGATTTTGGACAGCCAAATCCAAAGCTATGGCTTGCCGGCCCATTTAAACCGTATTACCTAGGCATTTTTCACGATTTCCGCTTGTTCCTTAAAATCCAACCGCGGAACTCCCCAATTATTTCTCGCCTACATCCATATCATCGCACAACTTTCGAGAAGTTCCCTCTAACCTCCCCCACCCCCATTTTCCGCTTTTCCGCCCAAAATGATGTGAGCATTGACGAGGGGCCCCCCAGATATTTCCACTTCCCCAAAACGGGAGCACACGAACTAACAAAGCCAATTGGCCGTGGATGCGGGGGGGGGGGGGGGGGGGGTGGAGGTTCCCCGAAAAGCACAGCAGATTTTTGTGCCCCCAGACCTCGGGATAAGGCGGAGGTGGGCCAATTAGTCGCGTTTTTGTAGGTGCAAAAATAGGTGATTCAGGAGTAGGATGATGTTTGGAAAATAGTGTGTAGTTTGTGGTTGTTGGCGTCCGGACCATCAAAAAAGGGAGCAAAACGTCGATTTCCGGACGGTTTGCCAGCTAGATCACGTAATGTAATTTTGAGCCGCGTATAATTCGGCAATAAAAAAATTTCGAGCGGCAGAATTGTGATTTGCATATTTAGGGCATCGTCGCATCAGTAGCTAGGATTTTCAGCGAAAATATACCGAATGTCGACCAGCTCCAAAAAAATGCTCTAGTAATCACAAAATGTCCCTAGAATTTTTCTATATGCAGCCAATGCATTCGTTTTTTTTAGTCATGGTTTCTAATACAATTTCGCCGCTTCGCGGCACGCTCGACAGTAGCCTCATTTTCATTGCGTGATGGGTTAGGATCCACAAGCGGCGATCGCGCTGCGTGAAATCGCGTGTCCCGCAAAAATGCACAGGAATTTTCAGGGCTAGAAAAGGCTTAAAAATTCATAGTTCTTCTTCAAGTAGCTTTACAGGAGTGCAGAGATCAGAGGAGGAAGACAAAAATCCGTAGGTTTGTAATTTCCAATTAACGTTCAATTTATAAAAGGGGCGCGTAAGCCGCGGTAGGCAAAACTAGAAATTTTAGGGATGAAACTCCAATAACAGATAAAGTTTGATAAACTGATAAGAGTGAAATATAGATGAGTGCTCTAGGCGGACGGGATTCGCCTCGGTTGCTTCTTCCTGAGAAGGTAAATGGGATTGAGAGTGTGGCCACGGGCAAGCGGGAAGACAGTCAACGCATTCCTCCCCCCAGGGCCAGATAGGTGGAGGTACCGGGTGGGTCAACCCGGCACATCAAACATACTGTCTTCACCCCCTCTCTACTCTTCTTAGGGCCAACCGGGAAGGGCACGACCCTGACCGTTTGTGTACCGTCAAAAGTGAGCCAAAGAGACTCCGAGGGCCTGTGGGCGCAAGAGCATCTTATCGATGCGAAATCAAGGAGGATCTCAACTGATTGAGAAGTCAATCAATGGTAATGTCAACACAATTGCTAATTTTGGTGTGTTTTGAAACGGTTTGCTTATACATCCCAAAAATCCTATTCCCGAAAAGTGGTTACCGGAATCGGACCCCCGAAAAACTCAACTCAAAAACTTCGCCTTGATAAGTTTTCGTTAAGCTCATTAGATTCAGCCTCGAATTTGGCAACTACAGATAATTCGGAACAGGGTTTGACAAGACGCTGCAGATCGCATAATGCTAAATTTTAGGGCGGCTGGGATCTGCGGAGCGTAACGGAACAGCGGAGCAGCCTGAAACATCTGGCCGGCTCTCCCATTAATTTTGATGGCCGTGAGCTATAAGGCGATTTTGAACAGATTTTTGTTGCTGCCAACCTTTGCTTTAACTTCATTTCGAGCAATAGCGGAACCACCAGTCTTTTCGTTACAGTACACTGAATACTTTCCAGATTGCGTTGGTACGGTAGAGCCGAATTTTTGCTTTAGGCTTAGTTTGGTCCAGTAACCAAATATAAAGTGTTTTTATATAGCTTTTAGTAAAATTTAACTATATTGAAAGCAGAATAGGCTTTCAAAGCTTGAAAAATATTGGAAATTTTCGTAAATTTGGTCAAAAATTTGGTTTTTCGACCTAAAACGCAGTTTTCATCAAGTTTTGTGAAATTTTGTTACGGCTAGACACACTTGATTATAACAACTCTTTCGGTGGATTTTCACATTCAACAAATAACCACTTTATTGATCAATCCATTTCTGGGGTAGATAGTCTCATCAGTTTTACGAGAGAGAGGGGCACAGTTCAAGCGAATATTGTACACGGCTGCGAGATGCTTCCAAAAAAGTTAAAATCAAATTTTAAAGGGCTGAGAAACGGAGATCAACGTCAGTTTGAGGCTGGCAAGTGAAAGCGAGAAGAGCTGTGGGGAGTATCTAGAAATTCTGAGAAGGGGGGGCAGAGCAGAGATTCTTTGCACGAGGGACGGCGGCAGAAGAAGCACAGGGGAAAACTCGTTGACGAACAGGCCCTAGTTGTAGCGGAAACGACGGCCCGCACCGCACAACTTCCACCGGCATCGTTTGATCACTTTTCGGGGTCCTGGAAATGGGAAATTAGCGTTTTAAAGGAGGCGCCGGCGGGTTTGCATCTAACAATAAGCACGCTGCCCGGCATCTGCTCTTTTTTATTTTGTCGAAATAAACCTTTGTTCCAATTGCATTTTGGCGAATTATTACTATAGGGAAATTTCAACGCATTAATTTCAATTCGCAAGATCCGGAATGAAGAAGCGAGGTAAAAAGCATCGAAATTGCGAAAAATTGATATTTTAGCAAATTAATTTTTCGCCAAACACAATAAGCCGATGCCGCGCTTCGTGTATAGAAAAAAGGGGTGTTGTATGCTATTTGGCGCCTTGCGTAGGGTCCAGATTTAGTCCAGAAAAGGGATCGATTTCGAGCTTCCCAGCCCCTTCAAATTGTGGCCTTTTGCAAAATTTGCGATATGGAATCCTACTTCCTCTGGACCCGTGTCCTTCTATTTTTCACCCACCTTCACCGTCCATTTCCAATTCTTCACTGGGATTCAATATCCTCCGCAACAGCCCGTCTTCTACCAAAACGAGTTCTTCTGCTGAGCCCATATCGTCCTGGAAAGAGAATTTCACAGGTTCGGGATCTTGAATAGGTGTTTTTAAACGCAAGCGTTTATTTATTTTAAAAAAGATATAATTCTCAGACTCTAGGTTTACCACCTTAGTTACAACCTCAAAAAGTCAAAATGTCCCATTCACATACCTGTGCACGCGCAAACTGTGCGACGAGGAGGGCGGCCAGTAAGGCGCGCCACATGCCAGGATTAACCCTGAAATGACGTTCCAATGGTAGGCATAATTAAAGCAAAATTTCACAAAAATTATTGTCATACTTTAATCAATATTAAGTATACAGATCCTGAACGCCATTAAAAATCGTTGGAAAAATCTTAATTTACTGAATGAAAAGCTGGAAATCATAGATAGCTTTTTTTCTAACAGTATTAATTATTCGGAATCCTAATAACATTTGAAAACTCGGAGTTTGTGGACTAAATCGTATAATTTCCAGGGCGAAAACCGGGTTTTTTTCGAAAAATGGAAGCATCATGGGGCCAATGAGACAGGGGGGATAAATACGACGATGTGGAGGATGAGTATGAGCCATTCCCGCCGAGATGAATCTCGAAAAGGCTCCCTCGGGTCAGCCGCCATGTTTGGCTTGGCCCCCGGCGATTCAAGTAGACGACGAAATGACGGTGTTTGGCGCGGCCCCTAGCCGGAAAAGAACGGCTATTTTGTGGGCTGATGAAACGGCAGGCGCAAAGTTTAAATTGGGATGGACAGCAAACTACGAAAAAAGTGGAATTTCAGTTGATTATACAGATTTTAAGCAAGTGTTATCACGGATGTACAGGGTGTCCCAAAAAACCTCCTCCTCGGCATTTGGCCGTCTTCTATAGGATCAAAGTCAAATTTCTACTTCAGTGATGGGGTCCCGCTAAAAACTATGTGCAGCTGAATTTTCTAAGCAAAATATTGTAAGACAAAAAAGTTATATTGAAATTTAAGTGTTTATTTTGCTGATTTCACTTGGATTTTGATGGATTAGGGCCTGGAAATGTTTAGCAAAACTGAAGAGGACACTTTTTTCTCCGAGGAATTTTGATTTACAAAAAATTACGTCAAAAACGGGACTTTTCATCAATTTTTATTATCAAAACGAACAGAAACAACTTGAAATGACGATTTTTGTGAAAATTACTCAAAATCTGGCATCCATAATTATGAAATGATAAAGAAAAAATCGGTACTAGCGTTTCCCAAAAATCAGTTTTTTAGCGATAACTTTTTTGTTTTATAGTATTTTTGTTTTGTGAAAATTCGGCTGCAATATAGTTTTTATGGGTCCCCATCACTGGTAAAATTCTGTCCCGATGGGATAGAAGACGGCCAAATGACGAGGGGGTTCTTTTTTTGGGACACCCTGTAGAAGCTAGC